TGAGACTGTGGTCCCAGCTCTCTTCAGGTCATTGACCAGGTCCTGCCGTGTAGTTCTGGGCTGATCCCTCACCTTCCTCATGATCATTGATGCCCCACGAGGTGAGATCTTGCATGGAGCCCCAGACCGAGGGTGATTGATCGTCATCTTGAACTTCTTCCATTTTCTAATAAATGCGCCAACAGTTGTTGCCTTCTCACCAAGCTGCTTGCCTATTGTCCTGTAGCCCATCCCAGCCTTGTGCAGGTCTACAATTTTATCCCTGATGTCCTTACACAGCTCTCTGGTCTTGGCCATTGTAGAGAGGTTGGAGTCTGTTTGATTGAGTGTGTGGACAGGTGTCTTTTATACAGGTAACGAGTTCAAACAGGTGCAGTTAATACAGGTAATGAGTGGAGAACAGGAGGGCTTCTTAAAGAAAAACTAACAGGTCTGTGAGAGCCGGAATTCTTACTGGTTGGTAGGTGATCAAATACTTATGTCATGCAATAAAATGCAAATTAATTACTTAAAAATCATACAATGTGATTTTCTGGATTTTTGTTTTAGATTCCGTCTCTCACAGTTGAAGTGTACCTATGATAAAAATTACAGACCTCTACATGCTTTGTAAGTAGGAAAACCTGCAAAATCGGCAGTGTATCAAATACTTGTTCTCCCCACTGTATTTAAATTGACTGATTTCCTTATATGAACTGTAACTCAGTAAAATCGTTGAAATTGTTGCATGTTGTGTTTATATTTTTGTTCAGTGTGTGTGTGTGTGTGTTGTATTGGACTAGAAAAGGGGTCTGGTTATATTAAAGAGAGGAGATATTAACATTTACATTTACGTCATTTAGCAGACGCTCTTATCCAGAGCGACTTACAAATAGGTGCATTCACCTTATAGCCAGTGGGATAACCACTTTACAATGTTTGTATTTTTTATTTTGTATTTTTTATGTATTTTTATTTTATTTTATTATTATTGTATTATTATTATTTATTTTTTTTTTTTTTGGGGGGGGGGGGGTGGAGTAAGGGGGGGGTGGTAGAAGGATTACTTTATCCTATCCCAGGTATTCCTTAAAGAGGTGGGGTTTCAAATGTCTCCGGAAGGTGGTGAGTGACTCCGCTGTCCTGGCGTCGTGAGGGAGCTTGTTCCACCATTGGGGTGCCAGAGCAGCGAACAGTTTTGACTGGGCTGAGCGGGAACTATGCTTCCGCAGAGGTAGGGGAGCCAGCAGGCCAGAGGTGGATGAACGCAGTGCCCTCGTTTGGGTGTAGGGACTGATCAGAGCCTGAAGGTACGGAGGTGCCGTTCCCCTCACAGCTCCGTAGGCAAGCACCATGGTCTTGTAGCAGATGCGAGCTTCAACTGGAAGCCAGTGGAGTGTGCGGAGGAGCGGGGTGACGTGAGAGAACTTGAACACTAGACGGGCTGCGGCATTCTGGATGAGTTGTAGGGGTTTAATGGCACTGGCAGGGAGCCCAGCCAACAGCGAGTTGCAGTAATCCAGACGGGAGATGACAAGTGCCTGGATTAGGACCTGTGCCGCTTCCTGTGTAAGGCAGGGTCGTACTCTCCGAATGTTGTAGAGCATGAACCTACAGGATCGGGTCACCGCCTTGATGTTAGCGGAGAACGACAGGGTGTTGTCCAGGGTCACGCCAAGGCTCTTCGCACTCTGGGAGGAGGACACAACAGAGTTGTCAACCATGATGGCGAGATCATGGAACAGGCAGTCCTTCTCCGGGAGGAATAGCAGCTCCGTCTTGCCAAGGTTCAGCTTGAGGTGGTGATCCGTCATCCATACTGATATGTCTGCCAGACATGCAGAGATGCGATTCGTCACCTGGTTATCAGAAATCAAATCAAATCAAAATCAAATTTTATTGGTCACATGCGCCGAATACAACAGGTGCAGACATTACAGTGAAATGCTTACTTACAGCCCTTAACCAACAGTGCATTTATTTTAAACAAAAAAAGTGAAAATAAAACAACAACAAAAAAAGTGTTGAGAAAAAAAAGAGCAGAAGTAAAATAAAGTGACAGTAGGGAGGCTATATATACAGGGGGGTACCGTTGCAGAGTCAATGTGTGGGGGCACCGGCTAGTTGAGGTAGTTGAGGTAATATGTACATGTGGGTAGAGTTAAAGTGACTATGCATAAATACTTAACAGAGTAGCAGCAGCGTAAAAAGGATGGGGTGGGGGGGCAGTGCAAATAGTCCGGGTAGCCATGATTAGCTGTTCAGGAGTCTTATGGCTTGGGGGTAGAAGCTGTTGAGAAGTCTTTTGGACCTAGACTTGGCACTCCGGTACCGCTTGCCGTGCGGTAGCAGAGAGAACAGTCTATGACTAGGGTGGCTGGAGTCTTTGACAATTTTGAGGGCCTTCCTCTGACACCGCCTGGTATAGAGGTCCTGGATGGCAGGAAGCTTTGCCCCAGTGATGTACTGGGCCGTACGCACTACCCTCTGTAGTGCCTTGCGGTCGGAGGCCAAGCAGTTGCCATACCAGGCGGTGATGCAACCAGTCAGGATGCTCTCGATGGTGCAGCTGTAGAATTTTTTGAGGATCTGAGGACCCATGCCAAATCTTTTTAGTCTCCTGATGGGGAATAGGCTTTGTCGTGCCCTCTTCACGACTGTCTTGGTGTGTTTGGACCATGATAGTTTGTTGGTGATGTGGACACCAAGGAACTTGAAGCTCTCAACCTGTTCCACTACAGCCCCGTCGATGAGAATGGGGGCGTGCTCAGTCCTCTTTTTTTTCCTGTAGTCCACAATCATCTCCTTTGTCTTGGTCACGTTGAGGGAGAGGTTGTTGTCCTGGCACCACACGGCCAGATCTCTGACCTCCTCAGCGTATCAGCGTAGCAATGATAGGAAAGGTCATGTGAGGATATGACAGAGCCAAGTGACTTGGTGTATAGAGAGAATAGGAGAGGGCCTAGAACTGAGCCCTGGGGGACACCAGTGGTGAGAGCACGTGGTGCGGAGACAGCTTCTCGCCACGCCACTTGGTAGGAGTGACCGGTCAGGTAGGACGCAATCCAAGAGTGAGCCGCGCCGGAGATGCCCAGCTCGGAGAGGGTGGAGAGGAGGATCTGATGGTTCACAGTATCAAAGGCAGCAGACAGGTCTAGAAGGACAAGAGCAGAGGAGAGAGAGTTAGCTTTAGCAGTGCGGAGAGCCTCCATGACACAGACAAGAGCAGTCTCAGTTGAATGACCAGTCTTGAAACCTGACTGGTTTGGATCAAGAAGGTAATTCTGAGAGAGATAGCAAGAGAGTTGGCTAAAGACGGCACGCTCAATAGTTTTGGAGAGAAAAGAAAGAAGGGATACTGGTCTGTAGTTGTTGACATCAGAGGGATCGAGTGTTGGTTTTTTGAGAAGGGGTGCAACTCTCGCTCTCTTGAAGACGGAAGGGACATAGCCAGCGGTCAAGGATGAGTTGATCAGCGAGGTGAGGTAAGGGAGAAGGTCACCGGAGACGGTCTGGAGAAGAGAGGAGGGGATAGGGTCAAGCGGGCAGGTTGTTGGGCGGCCTGCCGTCACAAGTCGCAAGATTTTATCTGGAGAGAGAGGGGAGAAAGAAGTCAAAGCATAGGGTAGGGCAGTGTGAGCAGGACCAGCAGTGTCATTTGACTTAACAAACGAGGATCGGATGTCGTCAACCTTCTTTTCAAAATGGTTGACGAAGTCATCCACAGAGAGGGAGGGGGGGGGGGGGGGGGGGGGATTCAGCAGGGAGGAGAATGTGGCAAAGAGCTTCCTAGGGTTAGAGGCAGATGCTTGGAATTTAGAGTGGTAGAAAGTGGCCTTAGCAGCAGAAACAGATGAAGAAATTGTAGAGAGGAGGGAGTGAAAAGATGCCAGGTCCGCAGGGAGTCTAGTTTTCTTCCATTTCCGCTCAGCTGCCCGGAGCTCTGTTCTGTGAGCTCGCAATGAGTCATCAAGCCACGGAGCTGGAGGGGAGGACCGAGCCGGCCGGGAGGATAGGGGACATAGAGAGTCAAAGGATGCAGAAAGGGAGGAGAGGAGGGTTGAGGAGGCAGAATCAGGAGATTGGAGGGAGAAGGATTGAGCAGAGGGAAGAGATGATAGGATGGAAGAGGAGAGAGTAGCGGGAGAGAGAGAGCGAAGGTTGCGACGGCGCATTACCATCTGTGTAGGGGCAGAGTGAGTAGTGTTGGAGGAGAGGGAGAGAGAAAAGGATACAAAGTAGTGGTCGGAGACTTGGAGGGGAGTTGCAGTGAGATTAGTAGAACAACAGCATCTAGTAAAGATGAGGTCAAGCGTATTGCCTGCCTTGTGAGTAGGGGGGGACGGTGAGAGGGTGAGGTCAAAAGAGGAGTGGAAAGAAGGAAGCAGAGAGAAATGAGTCAAATGTAGACGTAGGGAGGTTGAAATCCCCCAGAACTGTGAGGAGGAACTGTGTAAAGGAGTCTTCTGAATGAATATTTAACGATACGGAAAATGGAACTTCTTGATAGATGATTAAAAGGCTCTTTAGCGGAGACCTGCATTTTTTTTTGTAGCCAATAGTTTGGGTTCGTTTACATCTCAAAATCGGTATACTGTGTGTGGTTGATTAGGGAGAAATCTGTGTTTTGATGTATTTTAGTGTGCGTGTGTGTGTGTGCGTACGCTTCCATACATTCTTGCTGTTGTGGGATTAGCCAAAAGCATACAAATTTAACCTATGAGGTTCTTTAGAAGTTCCTTGCCAGACATTAAATTAAAACATTCCTACCTGCCCTTGACCTGCTCCTCGCCTCAAGCTCCCTGAGAATACTTGATGGGGACAGACTGTGCCATCTGGGGCACATACACACACACACACACACACACACAGCCTAATGTTTGCCAGCCCAATCCCCCACACCTGGGGACACTCAAATCAATGTCGGATTGAAACGCCAGCACAGCCTTCAGAAATACAGCCGTCTATTCGATTGCCTCTAACACCCCTTCATTTTTTTATTCATCCTCCTCTTTCCCCAGACTTGAAGGCTCTATGGAGAAGGGTAAGAACGGACGCCTCAACCCAGCGTTTCATCTGAAGGTGGTGGGGCTGGCGAACAAAGGAAACAGTCACAAGGGGGTGAGTGTTAAAGGGGAGGGGAGTTAAATCTAAGTTGACCTATGAGTCTCTATATGCTGGGAATGTTTGTCTCTGTGTTTCTGAGAACTACATACATTAAACTAAAGTCTAGCTAGCCTTGCTTTAAATTGCCACATTTACAACTGTGGCTCTGCCTGTGTCAACTTTCTGTGATAGCAACTGTCACTGTCTGCCTCCCATGTCGCCCTCTCTTCTCTGTCTGCTAACTGTCTCCTTCCCTTCCTTTTTCATAATACTTTTTTATTAGTTTTTCAACATACTTTTCATACAATTTGAATGACATAATCCTAAAATGTTCTTTATATTATTCTCTAACCATTGTCTTTTCTCTCCCTACAGCTCCCTCACACCAGCAAAGAGGTGCTGCCTCTCAGGCCAGGCCCCACCACCAACGGCACCCAGCCAGTCAACATTGTGCGTCCCCTAAGTCCCGCCCCCTCGCCGCATAACACGCTACAGAGCTTCAAGGTGGTCCGCCCGCCTTTACCTGTCAGCAAGCCGCCCGGGGCCCCGTCCAAATCACCCACCCCCCCTCAGAAACTCACCCCGCCAAAGAAACCGCTGCCCCTCAACCCAACACGATCACCACTGGTAAGTTTTTCCGTTTTTAATATTATTCCTTTCGTTCATTCATTGAGAAAATATCTTTCTGTTTAAAAAAATCATCCTGTGTCTGTTTTTACAAAAAAATATGTAGTTGGACCGAGAAAATAGATGAAATAGCAACAGATGAAACAGCATGTTTTAGTTTTTATCTGATTGTTTTCTATCGATTTCCTCCAAATTACCCCCATCTCTGCCTGTAAGCTGTAAAAGCCTTTGAAAATGCCATTGGCTTCGAATTTAATATTGCTCTGTGTTTGCACAACATTAATTTATCTGCGGTTGTTTTTTGATAAGCATCTAAGAGTGGAGGTAGAGAGTTACACTGTAATGAAATAACACACCACGAAGTCAGACAAAGCCTGCCAACCACCGGATTAAAAACTGCTTGAGTTGTGTGATAAGACTGGGTGAATCCAGTCGACAGTAGTGGAGGGCCTATTTGCATATACCCCTCCTGCTGTATTCCTAATATCATTTGTAGTGCATTAGGAGTGTGTGACATGGTGAAGTGCTTTATTATGGCTTTGATCACATTCTAAGGCCTACGTCTTCTCTCCCTCTCTTTCCCCTTTTGCCTGTTTCACCGTTTCCATTTTTTTTCTCTCTCCTTTCTCTCTTCATCCATTTTCTCTCTCTCAATTCAATTCAATTTCAATTTAAGGGATTTATTGGCATGGGAAACGTATGTTAACATTGCCAAAGCAAGTGAAGTAGATAGTAAACAAAAGTGAAATAAACAATAAATATTAACAGTAAACATTACACTCAGAAGTTCCAAAAGAATAAAGACATTTCAAATGTCATATGTGTATATATATATATATATATATATATATATATATATATAGTGTTGTAACAATGTGCAAATAGTTAAAGTACAAATGGGAAAATAAATAAACATGGGTTGTATTTACAATTGTGTTTGTTCTTCACTGGTTGACCTTTTCTTGTGGCAACAGGTCACAAATCTTGCAGCTGTGATGGCACACTGTGTTTTTTCACCCAGTAGATAAGGGAGTTTATCAAAATTGGGTTTGTTTTCGAATTCTTTGTGGATCGCTGTAATTTGAGGGAAATATGGGTCTCTAATATGGCTCTCGCTCTGTTTCTGTCTCTTCCCCGCTCTCTCCGTGTCCCTTCTCTCTCTCTTTCTCAGTTGGTGTCAAAGCTGCAGCCCAGACACTCCCCCTCTCCTCCTCAGAGGCCCCTCCCCCTCAGCCCTGTCCGAGGGGGGGTGTTACAAATGAGCCCAGCGACGGCAGTTCCTCCCAAACCCTCAAATGGGCTGCTGGTGATGATGCCCCCTGCAATCGGCCCCAAACCAGTGGGCAAGGTGTCTGTCATCCCCCCTCTCAAAGCACTCAGGTGGGTCCACACATATGCAGGCATGCACACACGCACACACCCACACACACAATGTGATGACTTATGATTTACTTGTGTGGGTATGGCCATAGGCATACATTGCAAAAGCAAAGATTATATCACTTAGCTACATGTACATGGACAGAACACATTTCAAACAATGTTTTTGTCATACATAACCCATTATAGAGACTGCTGGCTTTGTGTGCGGTTAATAGCTGTTTTCCAAAGTGAGTGGCAACAAGTGAGCAGTGCCATAGATTACAAAAAATACACTGTTGTTTTTAGCTATAAATAACTCTCCAATGTTCATGCCTTGGCATCAACTGGACGTATTATTAGTCTCCCTGATAAAATCTAAAATAGCCACTCCAAGAAGTCCTTGCTCATAAAACAGCCATTGTTAACATTGTTAATCTGCTTTTTCCAGTAAAACTCCAACAAACCCCCCTTGAGTCACCATTTTACTATTTCCCGAAAAGAATTACCTCCCCTGATTCCTGTATCTCTCCATCTCACGCTGTTTTGAACTCCGGCAGCAAAGTTGTCATAGCTTGCAGGGAAGGACTGTGTCTGTGTGTCTGTGTCTGTGTGTGTGTGTGTGTGTGTCTGTGTCTGTGTGTGTGTGTGTGTGTGAGCATGAGCTTTAGAACCAGGAAGAAAATAAAAAAGAACTTTATAAGCCACAGCTCACATTGTCAAGCACAGATCTCTCGCTGCTTCTGCCCGTTTCGTCAAACAATCAATTCTCACTTTATTTCACTGTTATGCTCGGAATCTGAGGACTGCACTCTATTTATTTTAGAAGCCAAGCTGGCAACTAGCCATGCGCCTTTATTGGCTTTTGTTATCTGCTGTGTTTAAAGCTTCTCACAAACCCTAGAGTGATTGTTGTTGGGGTTAATGGGTTGTTCTTTCTTTCTGAAGACTGGGGGCCAGGAGTATAAAACAAACATCTCTCTCAACATCTCACCCTGTCCTCGAGTCACTCCTAAATTCTAAAAAGTCTCCATTGATTAGTGTTTCAAATCATCGCCCCTCTCTGCACTGTGCTTTTTATTTCGGGGACTGTGGTGACAAAAAGAAGGAGAACTATATAAAATGCTTTACAAGCCTCAACACAACAAGACTCTGTCTACGCACTGTGTTAAAAGCAACTGTTTCTTTCTTTTATTTTCTTCGTTTGCTTTTCATTCCCCCTCTCAGACCGGTCCCAGGAGCGAAACCAAATACAGTCTCGTTGCCTTTCCGAAAATGACCCTGGGAGTCTATCAGGTGCCGGCAGTCAGCAGCAAGCAGTTAGTCTATTTGCACTATAAAGACCCGGTTGGAGGGCTGGTACAAGGCAGACGCTGTCCAACAGTCATAGGGGACGAGGCAGAGGCTGATGGAGGGTGGAGAGGGAAGCAAGAGGAGGGGGTACTGGAGTGAACTTGGTCGTTCTCCCTCCAGAGGGTCCTGTCGCCTGACTTGAAAATCGTGACCTGAATGACCTCACCCTGTCTCGTGACAACGATGAAAGACGACGCGGTTTTGCACGTATGGAAAACCGTGCAGACTGAGATGTGGTATTGCTGGTAGTGGTCACATTGCCAAAACCTTGATTTTTATTGTTTGTTTGTTTTTATTGTCAATCCGTTTATAGGACTAGCTAGCATTTTTATTATTATTGTTGTTTAGATGTCTGTTTACATCTTAAAAAATTAATGGTTTGTGTTATGTGCCAAAGAGTACTTTTGAGGCATGTTGATCATTGCAATTTGATTTGAATGTCTCTTGCTGTGTGTCATTTTTGAGGGGAATTGTTACATAAAAAAACTCACCTTTTTACAAAACTGACTTGTGTACTTCTTCCTCTGTGTTTTCTAGGTTGAAATCTACATATATATTGAAATATATTATTCATACGTTTCTCCCATCCATATTTATAAAAACTGTCAAGTCATGGCCAGGACAGCTGAAGCTATGGGACTTGACACTCCAAAGGCATCACCCTCTCCTCGGCTTTGACTTTTTATTCAACACGGAGGACTTGACACAGCCAAGTTGTTACACATACACATAGAGCTTCAGATCTGGACCCATCACACACAATCCTCAATGCCTTACCCAATGCCGTAGTCTTTTCTAAAGTACAGTATCAAATCTTTAATCATTAGATTGTTATATCAATAGATTGCCTAATTTCCAATACACAAAAGAGACATTCTGTCATGAAAAGAGGGGAAATTCTTTGCAAGCTTAGATAAGCTTAAACAAGTGGCCTTGTAGAGAACTGTAGAAAAGCATGACTCAGGAAACAAGCAACATTATTTCCTTTCATTATAATTGAAAGAGTGCAGAGGAAACAAAATAAAATCCTGTTAAATATTAAAGTGTGCTTTTTAGTTTGCTGTAGCCTCAGGCTGGATAGAGAAGGGCTTTGTCCAAGATCTCCCACTCCACTATTTTTGGACAACAATGACCTCCAATGGACAGCACCTGCATCTCCAGGTTATTCCTTTTGACATAACAGCTTGTTTTATTTTACTGTGCTTCATTAACTGAACTACTGAATTGCATAAAAGTCATGACCATATTCATGGTGTTTTGGTGGCTAGTCTGGTTATGTTTAACCACATCCTCCCCAGAAGTGGCCAAAATGGGCCGGAGCGCCAAGTCTAGGTCCAAAAGGCTTCTTAACAGCTTCGACCCCCAAGCCATAAGACTCCTGAACAGCTAATCATGGCTACCCATACTATTTGCATTGTCCCTGTGCCCTCTAGTGGCATAATCAGGTACTTTCAGGGGTACGTTAGTTGGTGGACAGTAGCTTGGTAGACACTGAATATTTTCAAATTGTCGCGTTTCATTGCAACAAAGTAATTGTTTAAAGGTGAATAATTGCCTAATAATGCACACAATAGAATTGGACATAATTATGAAACCAATTCAGCAGTAAGAGCAACCAATGCATGCTATCTAAACAAAACCTAGTCAGCGATCTAGCATAAGAAATGGGATAACGTTAGCTAGCTACATCAAAAAGTCGACTGAGCTAACTCCGAGACAACTGCTAGCTTTTTCCTCTATCTATCAATTGAACTATCTCGACAATGAGATATGTGACGCAGAAACAAGTCAGCCAAATCCTGCACAACAACCTTTTTCGTCATCCTTGGTGGCTCAGGTGAGTATGTTACGTTACTGTGCAGCAGATTGTTCATGTGTGATTGACATTTGAAAAGGTTGTTGAACACACATCACATGCATTTCTTTACATCCAAACCAATTTCCTAGAATGTGTTTCTCATAACATCTGAAAGATTATGCTTCCTGTGATGCTGTTGAAGTCATGTTTCAAAAGGAAGCACACAGAGATTCTGGCTGACTTCCACACCGTCCTCAAACTTGACATCCTCATTGTCAACTCCTGTATCTGAGACATCTCCAGGTAGTAGGCCTACTGTTCTATAGTCTATTATATGCTACTGTATTTGTTTAGTGCTTAGTCACTGTGGATGACAAACTCAAACCTACATCTCAAAAACAGTAAGTTCAGAGTTACAGTAGTTGAGTCACATATTTTTGGTGGGACATAGAAATAGAAAATCATTGTCCATTAAAGGTCTTAAAGT